CCTCAGCTCGCCACCGACGCCGCAAAAGCTGAGGGAGACGCCCCCTTCGTCTTCCAGGCGCGCCGGCGGAGGACCCCCCTCATGGGGCTGGGCTGTCTACAGCGGACGCCCAATCACATGGCACAAAGTTGTGTCATCGCTCGATTTCCCCTCACTTTCTACCACGGAAGACCCTTTGAGGGCTTTCTGAGTACCTTCGCAAAATTATCTTGCGCCTGTGTTTAAAGCTGAAGGATTTTTAGTCAGGCGCATTCTGGCCAGCCTCAAACCACGGCTCCCGTGGTCCCCTCATGCATATGCAGCAGCAGATTGTGATCTTTTCGTTTCCAAGCGGAGTGACTTTAGTCCCTGGTGTGGGAACTCCTCTTCTCTTTGACTCGCTTGCTCCGCGATCCTTGTACTTACTCCAGGGACACTCTCGTGGTGCATTGTCAGCCCTCTCCCTGGCCCTTTTCATAGTGGGGAAAGATACAGGCTCATGATGTGGGACTTGTTTCTCCCCCAGGACCTTGGACAAGCAAGTCACTCGCCAATCCCGAATCTGCCAGCTTCCTCGGGTCTGACGAGGTGTTATAGGCGCTGATGAGTCAGTGTATTCATTTATAAGCTAATTAGGTGCGTTTGTTGAGCGCCTGCTAGGTTCAGGTACAATGCTGAAAGGCGGGACGGTGGAGTGAGTGAAGAGTTTGCTCTAGACCTGCAGGCTCTGACAGTCGTAATGGGTTGGGGTGGGGTGAGGAAAGAGAAGCCACAAATAATCAATGTATATGTAAATAATTAGAATCAAGTCGATACTTAATTATGCATCATGGAAAATTGTGCTGTGAGGGAGAATAAAGAGTTTTGTGAGAAAATTATGAAGTCCTAGTGTAGGGTGACCGATGGGGACGCCTCCTTAAGAAAATAGCACTTAGGCTGTTAGGAGTTTTGCATAGCAAGAGTGAGGGAAAACTGCCCTAGAAAGAAGGAACAGTTTATCTCAGATGTAGAGGTGAAAAGGAAAGGGTGTGGTGAGAGGTGAGCGAGGAATAAGGCAGTTCCATGGTGAATTTGGATTTTTGTTTTGAAAAGAAAAGGAAGACATTTTCATCAGGGGAATGATACCAAATTTGGGTTTCTGAAAGGTCACCCAAGCTGCATGGCTTGGAAGGCATGGGGAGTGGGTGTGGGGAGCCCAGTAGGAGGCGGCTGAAGCTTTCCAGGCACAAAGTACTAGCGACTCAGACTGGGTGGTGGCTTGGGAGCTGAAGGAGAGGATGTAAAAGTGGATGTGGGTGGGTGCTGTGGAATCACAGTAACTCTTGACTTTAGTCTTGAGTCAGTGAAGGGCCAGAAGAGCCTTGGTCTCCATGGCGCAGCCTACAGAAAAAACAGACTGAAGGAGAAGCTCAAAAGTTTGGCTGTTGCCGGGGATTTAGCTCAGTGGCACTGTGCCTGCCTCACAAGTGTCAAGGTCCTGAGTTCAATCCCCACTACTGAAAAAAAAAAAAAAAAGAAAAAAAAGTTTGGCTGTGAAAAATTGAGTTTGAGGTGCCTGGGCAGCATGTAAGTAAGAGAGTGAATAGTGGTTTTCCATGAGCCTGGAGCATAGAAGGGATGATACATCACAGTCCTGGGGAGTTCCAGGGAAAGAAGGTAGATAGAAAATGGGCAGAGGAGGAGGAACCAGGAATGGAAACTGAGAAGAGGAAGGACTAGGTGAACGTGGGATCCCAGACAAGATTTCAGGAAGGAAGGAGTACAGAGTAGTGTTAACTGCTCTGCAGGGCAGAAGTGATACTTTGTGTTTGGGAAGAGAGGATTTGTGAACTGTGCCCTTTATGTTGCAAGTTAAAAAAAATCACTTGGCTTAAATAAGTAGCCTGTCACTCACTGGCAAATGGGGTGGCTTGGTAATGTCATCAGAGACCCAGGTTCACTCCATCTCTCAATTGTCTTTTTGTGGGTCACCCTACTTCCTGGAGTCACATCCAAGTCAAAGAAATGTCCACTCCTCCTCTAGCTGAGACTCAAACAGGCCTGGATATGGCCTCTCACTATTCTGCAGCTGGCAGTGGTGGCGAACCTATGGCACATGTGCTACAGCAGGCTGTTTGTATCATTGAAAGCTCTACAAGGTTTTCCATCGCTAGGCTAAGGGATTAATGCACCCATGCCAGGCACACCCGGTATCCAACATGGGAGGGGAAGAGAAGCCTTATAGTGGAAACTTGTTTAGAAGAAAGAGGAGGCTAAACACTGGAAGGATCTGGAGCAATTAAATTTCTTGCATATTGCTGATGGCAGAGGAAGTTGATGCAACTATTTTAGAAATCACATTGTCTATTAAATCTCAGCATACATTTTTGGTAGGATTCAAAGTTTCCATTCCTGCTAAGTATCCAAGAGAAATGAACACCTGTGTCTATATAAAGACTGTGTAAGAATGTTCATGGTAGATTAATTCATTAGCTCAACTGAATAGCCTAGTATCCATCAACAAGAAACTGGGTCAACAAACTGACCTGTCCACCCAGTGGAGTTCAGCTGGCCCTCCACATCCACAGGATCTGTATCTTAAGATTTCAGCCAACCTCAGATTGAAAATATTTCAACCAACCTCAAATTGATAAGAAATGCACAGGTACTGAACACGAATAAAATTTTTCTTATCATCAGTCCCTAAACAATACAGTCTAGTAATTATTTACATATGACACTGTTAGGTATCGTGTCCTTTAGAGATGATTTCAAGTATATGGAAGGATACGCATAAGTTATATGCAAATACTTACTTTATATAAGGGGATTGAACATCCTGGGATTTTGGTGTCCATGGGGGGTTTGGTAGCTGTTCCTTCTGGATACTGAGGGACAACTGTATTGTGTCTGTTCTTGTATTGAAGAACAAACCTACATGCAACACCATGGATTAATCTGGCATATAGCATGCAGGGTAACAAAGTCAGGCATAAAAACAGTGTATACTATACGATTCTGTTCTTGTATTGCAGGAAATAAAGGAAGGGGTCCCAGCATCCCAGGGCCCATATGGCATGTACTACCCAGCAAGGCTCAGCAGGTGTGTTTTGGGGGGATACCGCCTTCTCTCTGGAGCTCTAGAAAACAAGAAAGGGAAGCTTGGCTCCAAGCCTGGGCCCTTTTCTCTGTCCACCGCCTACCCCACCACTGTGCTCAGGTCCAGGTGGTCGGTACACCAGGAAACCTTGAGGGAGCTGGAATGGCTTTCTGCCCTGACATTTTGCTAAGCGAACCTCAAGTGCCTGCCAAGGCCTCCCAGCCTGCTCTCTATTCCCCAGGCACTCAACCTCACTGACCTCACTGTCACCCTGGACCCTGCTCTCTGCTCCACATTCCCCAAATCTTCTCCTTTCCTCCTGAATCCCACTTCTTAAAGCCTTTTCTGTCCCCATTGCTGGAGTTTGCTTCAGGCCACTGTCCTCCCTCCTCTGGACCCTGCATCAGCTTCCTCACTGCTGTTACCCAGAACCATCATCCTCCACACAGCAATAAGGTCATCTTCCTAAAGTGACCCTGTCACTTCCTCTTGGTGGGGTATCACTCTCCTCTGTCTTCCCCTGTTAAAATCCAGTCTTCAAGCTGGGTGTGGTGGTGCACACTTGTAATCTCAGCACTCAGGAGGCTGAGGCAGGAGGATCGCTGTGAGTTCAAGACCAGCCTGGGCTACATAGTGAGTTCCAGGTCAGTCTCAACTACATAGTAAGACCCTGTCTCAAACAACAAAACAAAACAAAACAAAAAACAACAAAAGATCCAGTCTGCAAAGCTTCGCTTCAGATGCCACCTCCTGCATGAAGCCTTTACATTCAGTCAGCAAATACTGACTGGGCACCTAAGATGATCCAGGCCCTGTGCTGAGCGTGGAGAAGACAGATGCTATCTCCAGTCTGGAGGAGGGGAAGTTGAGCAACGGGTAATTCTTTTCCTATCTCACTCAGCCCCGTGAGAACCAAGCTCCCTGAGGACAAGACTTAATTTGGATCTGGCCTGGAGAGGGTAGTAGCTGTTGCAGGAGTGAATGAAAGTAAGGCTGGGGACAGCTCCTGTCTTTCTTATTTGTGCTCCAAGCCTCTGATTTAGCCGGCAACCAGGTTCGTGGACTTCAACTAAAAACGAATGACAATTTCATGAACTGAGATGTGGTTATTTATGAATAGGACAAAGTATTGTGAAATCACAGCACCAACTTTCCTGCACCATCACCCTTACAATTCCTTTTTAAAAAATCAACATTATGTTCTTACCAAGACTTGGATTCAGGAGATTCAGCCTGTAATGGAACAATAGTTAAAGTACCCAAGAAGCTGTGTGATTTCAAAAGATGTAAAATGTACTAAGAGGGCTGGGGTGTAGCTCAGCTTAATATGCACACGACCTTGGGTTCAATCCCTAGCATTATGGGGTGGCAGGGGAGGCAGAGACAGACAAAGGAGGAAGAGG